TCTTCCCCGTCCTCACGATGAGTTTCATCAAGGAGCAAGCTCTTGGCAATCATCAGCTACAGCCACGTGGGCTTCATCTCAGAGATTCGACAAGTTCGTCATCCGCGGCTCAGTCCCGATCTTCGATGACTGGTGCAGTTCTTCTGCACCGAGGGTGTGTGTGCCGCCGCTGCGTTCCGATTTGCAGGAAATCCGCAGGCAGTAGTATTGGCAGAGGTGGTGCACACGTGGTTAACCAGGGCTGTTATTTTCGACGAATTTTGCACCGAATTGCACCGAAATTGTCATATTGTGCTGATTTTTTGCTTTTTTCTTGTTTTTCTTTTTTTGTGATATATATGTGCTTTAGGGTACGTCATGTGTGCAGTTTTGACATGTTTGGATCAATAATGAAAAAGTTGGCATTTTGTTGAATTCATTGGACGCTTCATTTTGACTCGGACAGTGTCTTTGTGTTAGGGTTTCATAGTGTTTTTTTGTTTTTTTCCTCGTTTTTTTTTGCCTGTTTCCATTTTTATGTTTGCACTATGGTCTCATATTGTTTGTTTTTAAAATTTTTGATGAAATTCGCACCGCAATTGCCAATGAAAACAACGAATATTTGGGCCCCCGTTAACCGCCTCTCAGGTGGTGGCCTCTCATCGGAGGGCGGCTCCAGGAATGAGCCACGTAACCACGGTTGCTGCCTTCAGCGGCGATATCAGCGCGGTCAGCCCGCTTCGACATACCACGATCTTGACCTCATTACGGGAGTGGATGCAGCAGTTATCGACTGAGTGGCATCACGGTGACCGTCTTGCGCGCCCCGGGTGCAACCTCGTCCCAACGTACGGGACAGACTTCGACGAGATCTGCACCTCTACGCGCCAGCCGGCAGTTGTGTTCCCCACACTCCGATAGCGACCGAGCCACTGCAAGCACTGAACGTATATATATATATATATATATATATATATATCCGGTCAGGTCGAGCGGCAGTGGTCGGGGCCGTTACTAGGCGGCCATGTTGTGCCTCTAGTGCCAGCGGCGTGTCTGGAGTGTATTTTTTGGCTGTGACAGACCTTTCTTTGTTTCGTGGATGTTTTGCTGGCTTGCGATGGGGTGTGAACCGACAGTCTGTAGAGTTTTCCRTCTGGTGTGGGTGAGTGATAGTCTACTTTGATTTTGGTTAAAGTAGATTATCATTTACAGTGTAATCAGTGAGGGGATTCTGCAGACTGTTGAGGGTTCAGCCTCCTGATGAGTCGGTGAAACTCCGACGAAACAGTTTGTCACAGCCCCTCGTTTGTTGTCCTCTTCTCTCTCTCTGCCTACGGTTCACCGGGCAGTTCTGTTTGTGACGATATATATATATACAAGGTTGCTGGCGTTTGGGACGGGCCGAACGCCCGAACCCGAACGCCCGAACGTATGGGACCCCTTGGGGATGCGTTCGTCCGTTCGGGCCGAACGCGGACCCAAAAAAAAAAAAAGAAAAAAAAAAAACTCATCAAACAAATCTGAAAAAAAAATATCTTATGGAGAAAAATAAATCAAACAAGATTTGCCCGAGCATTACATCCGAATTCCTTACAAATTTGAGCTAAAAAGAAAATACAGAAAATAAATACTAATAATAAAAATAAATAAAAATAGAAAGAGAATTAAATTTAGTGAGTGCGCGAGCATGTTTTCGACACCGCCATCTTTGTCAATTTTTCGCATTGTTTTGGCATAGCTAAATGCCCTGAAAATTTACAGATGTGTACTTCACATAATACAAAATCCACTAAAAACGTTTCAAAAAATAATAAAATTGTTTAAACCCCTAACTAAAGTGAAAACAAAAAGTAAAAAGTGAAAAAATACATGGGCGAGCACGTTTTGACATCGAAATCTTTGGCGATTTTTAATTCCTATTTGGATGAGCCAAATGACTTGAAACTTTTTCGGCAGGTACCGCACGTCATAGAGAACTTAGCAAAAAACATTCAGAAAAAAATAATTATTTTTAGGCCCCAAAATATGTTTTTGTGGGGGCCGAACTTCGTCGGGTTCGGGCCCCATACGGGACCCCGAACGCCCGTACGTACGGAGGTCGGCCCAGGGACCTCCGTGCGTACGGGCTGGTGACCCTATATATATATATACTATATATATATTTATTTATATATATATATAAATATATATATATATGCTTGGACTAGAACAAACTTTGTAAATCAATACAACTGAAACTGGAAACCGGGTCCAATATCTTTTTACTAGGACGATTACTTTCCACAGAAATTGACCTTGAAGCTCAGTAAAAGGGTAGGTGAAAAATTCCACTTTGATGAAAGGTCCCTACTACTTTCACGATGAAACCACCAGTACTTCCTAGAGTCATGCTTGTTATTTAACCACATCTTATATAGCCAACACAGTTAGGTTTACCGATTTTTTTTTTTTTTTTGACATTGACAAATGCCCTGAAAATTTACAGATATGTATTTTACATAATCAATAACTTATTAAAAAAAAATTAAAAAATAATAAACTTTTTGAGGCCCCGAAATCAAGTGAAAACAAAAAGTTAAAAATGAAAAAAAACTAAATAGTGAGTGGGCGAGCAAGTTTTGACACCCCCATCTTGGACGATTTTTCATGTTTTTTTGGCTTAGGAGAATGGCGTCAAAATTTATAGGCGTGTAGATTACATCATAGAGAACTCACAAAAACAATTTCAGAAAAAAAAACTTATTTTAAGGCCCCGAAATAGTTTTTGGCGGGGGCCGAACCAGGAGGTGTTCGGCCCCAGAACGGGACCCCGAACGCCCGAACGTTCGGGGGCCAGCCCGGGGGCCCCCAAACATTCGGTCAGGTAACCCTATATATATATATATATATATATATATAGATACAGGGTTGCCGGCGTTCGGGACGGGCCGAACGCCCGAACCCGAACGCCCGAACCCGAACGCCCGAACGTATGGGACCCCTTGGGGATGCGTTCGGCCGTTCGGGCCGAACGCGGACACAAAAAAAAGAAAAAAAAAAAAAGAAAACTCGTCAAACAAATCTGAAAACAAGATATGTTATGGAGAAAAAAAAACTTAACAAGATTTTCCCGAGCATTACATCCGAATTCCTTACCAAATTTGAACTAAAAATAAAATACGGAAAATAAATACTAATAATAAAAATAAAAAGAGAATTAAATTTAGTGAGTGCGCGAGCATGTTTTCGACACCGCCATCTTTGTCGATTTTTCGCATTTTTTTGGCATAGCTAAATGCCCTGAAAATTTACAGATGTGTACTTCACATAATACAAAACCCACTAAAAACGTTTCAAAAAGTAATAAAATTGTTTAGACCCCTAACTAAAGTGAAAACAAAAAGTAAAAAGTGAAAAAATACATAGGCGAGCACGTTTTGACACCGAAATCTTTGGCGATTTTTAATTCCTATTTGGATGAGCCAAATGACTTGAAACGTTTTCGGCAGGTACCGCACGCCATAGAGAACTTACGAAAAAACATTCAAAAAAAAATATTTATTTTTAGGCCCCGAAATATTCTTTTGCGGGGGCCGAACGCCACCGGGTTCAGGCCCCGTACGTACGGAGGTCGGCCCGGGGACCTCCGTACGTACGGGCTGGTGACCCTGTATATATATATATATATATATATATATATATATATATATCAGCTCGGACTAGAACAAACTTTGTAAATCAATACAACCGAAACTGGAAACCGGGTCCAATATCTTCTTACTAGGACGATTACTTTCCAAAAGAATTTACCTTGAAGCTCAGTAAAAGGGTAGGGGAAAACTTCCGCTTTAATGAAAGGTCCCTACTACTTTCACGATGAAACCACCAGTACTTCCTAGAGTCATGCCCGTTATTTAACCACATCTTATATAGCCAACACAATTAGGTTTACCGTTCAGAACACGTTTAACCACATCTTATATAGCACACTTATATATGAGGCAAGAGACGCACGCTGAAGCAACCTCAACAGAAGAAGACACGACAATATATGGCAACAACAAGATATATAGATAGATAGTACGTAAATAGTAAGTCTCTCTCAACAGCTCAGGATAACAACATTATAAGTGATAGCTCACTAAATACTCCATTACCAAACTTCTTGTAAAGCGTCGGGACATTCACTTCCCGGTCCCTCATGCATACTTACAAACCATGCGTACAGTTCTTTTGTTTCTCATATTGTATTATACAAGGACGCTGGACCCGATTTCCAACAGGTGTTGCTCCCCACCAATAGATGGAGCCTCCCCGACAATGCTAGTGGTGTCTGCTCTTATTAGCACCCATAGCAGACGATCGGGTTGTTTCGAGGGGAAAAAAAAAAATGCACCACGATTTTAGGAAACGTATGGACTATTATAGGAGTGCCCAAATTCATCCGACTATAAACGTTTATACTTTTTTTTTTTTTCCGCGGCCGACAGTTGGGCGAAGTACTGGTGGTTTAATGGAAAAGGAGGCCGGAAATCCTCACGAAGAACCCGGAATGGCCATTACCCAGATTTGGCTCTGCTGGAAACCGGGTCCTGTGTCCTTCAAAAAAAGAAAACCTTGAAGCTAAGTAAAAAGGGCATCTGACACTAGAATCTTCTAGAAATCAGCTATACCTATCAAGAAATATCCAAAAAAATCTCATAATTCCTTAAGCACAGTTCACATTAAAATTTGATGTTTTGGGTTGCTATTAGTCCCCCGACTGATAGCTGGGGGTTCCTGTATCAACTAAATCTTTCTTATATCTATAAATTTCAATCATCCACAAGTTCTTGATTTCATTCAATTTAACTGAAAGCGTACGCCCCCTCAACTCCCCCCCCCCGAAGGCCACGTACGGAGGGCCCAAACTCCGTACATACGGGCCGCACGGGCGCCGGGGGGCCATACGTACGGTCGTACGGAAGTACGGAAGTACGGACGGGCCGTCCCCGTTTAAGGTGACTACACTGTTCCAGAGACTTAGCTTCTCATCCGACAATGCGTCAAGTGGACAATTTTGTTGAGAAATGTGGATCCCATAACTTTTCGATGTAGGAGGGTACGTTTTCGGGTTTTGTGTACGCGGCGAGTAGTCCGTGACGGACGACCCAACGGCGCTACACAAAATGGAAAGCTCGAGGGTCCCTACCGAAAAAGCTGCCGCGAAAATGAGTCGTCCTTTTCGATGTCCGCCTGTGGTCGCGTGGTCCATCAGTAGAGAAGAGGACCGTGCGACGTGTGCGGGCTGCTTTCCCAGTAGTGCGACATTATGGGGCCCGCCGTTGTCCCGTGGTCGCTCAAGGCATTTTGTGGCAGTTCCCGTTGGGTAGCGAAAGGAGTCATTTATTGAAGTGTTGTGTGCGCGCTTCATTATTTTCGAATAATTTAAAACGAGGTGGGCGTGGTAGCATGTGTACAGCAGTCGTTTCCTGGCCATTTGCATAGTCTACGGAATCGCTTCCATAGCCGGCGTGCGCAAGCAAGGCAGCGGTTTTGCAGTTTTCGTCGTCGTGTGCGACAAGCAGGTATGGAGCAGAATCGCAACCGGAGTCTGTCTGCGTCGGCCTTGTCGACCCGCATGGAATCTGCGAGCGGAGATGTGCCGCCATCGATCTCGGCAGCTGGAGCATGGCCAAGGTGGGGCAGCGCGGCTCTGCGGGTCCCTTCTATGCCCGGTGGTCTCCCCCCTTTGCCGACTTTCAAGGCGCTTCCGCAGTGGGACTGTCGAAATGTGTTCTCACCGCCAAGGTCGGACACGTACACAAGCATGCCTCCGCAACGTGCTAAGGAATCCTTGTCCTCCCTCATGGGCCAGGCTGCAGGTGGCCAACCACAATTACCGTTTCAGAGAGGTTTTCCCACGCCAATGGGTTGGGGATGCCGCATGAGCGCGCAGGCGTTCCACGTATGCAGAGGTCGAGGTCCTTCGACGACTCGATTACAGGTGGGGGAGTCCCATACGAGCGTGGCAAGTGAAGATGGTAGAGCGGCGATGCAGACTTCCAACATGGAAGTCGGCCTTTGTGGGCAGGCGGAGACGCAAAGAGGGGCCTTTGGCGGTACAGGTGGGGGAGTCCATACGGGCGTGGCAGGCGAAGATGGTAGAGCGGCGATGCAAACTTCCAACATGGAAGTTGGCCTTCGCGGGCAGGCGGAGACGCAAAGAGGGGCCTTTGGCGGGGGAGGTCCCCCCCCCATCTGCCCCATCGCCCGATCGAATGGATTTCACACCGCAGGCAATGGAAGATGGGGAGAGTTGGCGACCCTCCCCCAACGCAAGGGCGCAGGACGCATGCAGTGGTCCTGTGGAGGACATTGTCAGGACGCAGGCAGCGCAGGGGATGGTGACTGCAGGTGTGGAGGAGACAGGAGACGACAGTAAGAACTTGGCAACGACGAGCAATGTTGGTGGAATTGGAGAGTCTGCAGCAAAAGGAAAGAGCCGGGGTGATAATTGGAGATTGGATGAAACATTGGCGCTGCTATGATACCTAGTGGAAGAGGATGCACGTTAACAGACCGAGGAGGCAGCAAATGAAGGGGAAGAAAGAGAGGTATGAGTGGGTGGTGTCGAAGATGGTGCGACAAGGCTTGGCGAAAAGACTGGTGGGGGAGTGCGAGAGAAAGTTCTACGCTCTCGTGGACCACGCGAAGAAAATCAGGGACTTCAATAACTGGTCCGGCGAGCGAATCTACTGGAACATGGACAAACAAGAGAGAAAGCAGGTCGGCTTGCCCAAGCATTATGAGCGGCGATGCTGGGACGTGATCCAGTGGAAGTTGGGAAGTCTTCCGGGTCTTGCGACCGGGTGGTAAACTCCGTTATGTTCTTGGAGGTGCCACCAGCGCTGTCACATCAAATGACGAAAGGGGGGGGCACGAGTGAGGGGACTGTGCCACGCAGGCGGGCGGAGAGTGACATGTCGGAGGGGTCGAAGTACCAGTGCACCGGAGGAGGAGGGAGACGAGGCAGGTCGGACTCCCCAGCTGCAGGTGGGAGAGACGAAACCATGTCGGACATCACGACAACTTTGGCGGATTCGAACAAACAAAATGCGGAAATGCTTGTGGGAACTTTCGTGACTGCGTTGGAGGGGCTGAATAAGACGATGGCGGACGGCAATACCGCTTTGCTCCAATGCTTCGTCGTGCTGACGAGGCCCTTGGCCGGATGTTTTGCGCGTGATTCCAACGGCCACGGGGACAGGGACGGGGAAGGTCGACCTCATGAGCAATGAGGTCAGCGCTCGGATTTGGGCATTGTGATGTGGGTGGTGGAGATGGTCGGATCCCACCACGCCTCCCCTCATTGCGCCTTCCATCGTTGTCATTGTCTTCTCTCGTGGTGGTCGGTGAGTGTGTTGTTTGGTTGTGATGTACGAGTTTATCTTTATTTTTTTGTGCCTTTCGTTCGTGGTTCTGTGTGTGCAGTACTCCCTTTGAGCCGCCGGCATGGAACCCACATCTTCCCCTGCCAAAATTCCTCTCGACGAAGTTCCAAACATGGCTGGAGACTTCGCACTCGTGCACCACCGAATGATAGAAAATGCGCACGAGCTCGGAAGAAAGAGAGGGGTCTTTTTTTAGCGTGTGCATACGATGGTTGCGGAGCTGAAGCGAATATGCGTCGATGTCGATGGCGCGAACTTGAGGGAGGTCGTTGCCACATCCAAGTTCGTGAATAGGAGAAAACTTCCAGGTAACCAGAAAGCAAGGAAATGGTTTTGGGATACTTGGGGACGGGACTCATCCCTAGTTAAACTAGACTCTGTTGGTAGGCTTCATTTTTGTCAGTGGTTGCTGTCACCACTAGGACACGGAGAGTACTTTACCTCCCCCCCATGGAGTCTTGCTTAACTATAGGAGAGGTGGATGGGTGGAAAGGTATTGATGCTTCTTGGGACGCTTCCTGGTGTTTCACCCCCCTTTTTTTTCTATTTTGGGGAACTTCTTGAGAAGGGACACTGGACCTGGTTTCCAGAAGCCTAAGCTGGGTAACGGCCCCAGAATCGCTCGGGTCTTTTTTGTGGGGTTTCCGGGGGCAAGGTCCCACTTGCGCCTATTAGGAGATTTCGACGGTTGATCTTTGCTATCTACGGTCAGTATCTCCTAATTCGTGCAAGTGGGACCTAGCCCCCGGCCCTGTACCGTCCAGGTTTTCTTTTGTAAGGGAAAGTTCTATTGTTCTCCAAAAAAAAAAAAAAAAAAAAARAAGTTGTTGTGCGCAAAATGGGAGTGAATCCTCGGCTAGAACATGGAAAGATACACCGAAAAACGAAATGATTTTTTTTTGTTTTTTTTTTTTGTTTTTTTTTTTTTTAATTTTATAGAAACGCAACCTTATATTCCAAACCAAAAAGGGAGGCCGGGTCCTCACAGTTCAACCCGGAGTTATCCCGGCAGCATCAGCCGGTTTAGCTTAGTTCTAAACCCAAAATCCCTGCTGAGATTCAGAGAATAGGCCACTCCCTACACCTATCTTTCCTGTTCCGACTATCATTGTCCAAACCTGAAACGTACAAGAAAACTTAGCAGGAAGACGAGGTAAGGGAAAAAAACAGCCATCAGGGCTGCAGCCCATTAAGACATTTATGGGCAACTTGATGCAGAATGCCCACTCCAACTGAGAACACAAACATACTACTGAGATCGACATGCCAGACATTACCTCTGACTCTGTAAACCGCCTATAAGCTGAGTACTAACCTACTCCTACCCCTTTCTCCTACCGTACAGGCCTACTCGGCCTGACACCGGCCTAACAGCGGCCGGTTGGAACCCACGTACCGAGTAACTCTGGCACTCTCACCCCCACCTCCCCTGTTTGACCTACAGCGGCCCGAACAAAAACCGAGCTGCCCTGGTTCCACCTCCAACCCTCTCAACCCTGTAGACACAAAAATGCTTAAAGGTCGCGCGAAAAGGCGCGCGCGAAGGGGGTGCAGCAACGGGCGTTACGGAGCGCTCCGCGTTGTTGCCGCCGGTAGTAGGTCGCCGGCGCTGTTCCATCAACGCTTCGTGCTCACAGCGAAGCTTTGAGGCGCCATCCACCCTTCGTCTTCCTGTTGGGCGATAACCATCTCTTATGAGTTTGGGGGGTATAAGAGCCGGAGAATGGTCCCTGTGGTAGGAGGATACACATGTGAAAGATGAGCATAGGCGCGCGCCATTACGGCGCCCGCCAAAGGCAATACAGAGGGTACGGATATCATGGAGGAGCTGCAATAGTAAGGTAGCGCGGTAGCTACTGGGGTAATAACAGGAGCCTAGAATCTGGGGTACGAGAGAGGTGGAAGTATGGATGCTATATCGCCAGTTGTTCAAGACCAGCAACAAGCAAGTATTCAAGAACAGGTGCCACATGAAGTTGTGGATAGGCTCCGGCACAGTACTCAAGGTTCGGCAATTTCAAGAGTAAGTGCAGGACGGCTCTCCCCTCCCCGAATCCTATGCTTTGAATGATCTGAGTGGTAACTTAAGCTTTACATCTCGCTAACTCTTAAGATGGCTTTCTCAGTTTTAATATTGGGGTGATAGGTTAACAGTAAACCCACTTTTTTAGGTAGATCCATAAATACGGATATAAATAGGTGTTTCTCGTTTTTTTTTTTCTTTTCTCCGTTATTTCTCCCAAGCTGTTCAATTGTGCATGGTATTCATGGTTACTGGAGCAATAGGGATGAGTGTGTATCGAGTCCCATAAAGGAAACAGAAAAGGTTGTATTAGAGGGGCTCCTGAACTCAACCCTTCTGCTTATTTGGGGGCAACCCTGACTATAAGGCCCAAGCTAGGGTTTCATCCGTGAGAGGTTCGTCGAGCCAGCCTAATAACATACCGGGAAATTAACGAACTATTAGGATGGCATCCCCCGTAGAGGCAGAGAGAGAAAGGATCCATTCCATGATAGCTGCATGTTTCGAGGATGGGATTTTTCCGGAGGGATTGGCCCATGGGACGGTGGAGATTGAGGGACGGACAGCGAAAATTACTCTGAATCCGGAGTTGGATGACGCCGTAGTAAAGTGGTTAAAAGAACGTATGGTAGTCATCATCTTTCAGGAAGATGGAAAATCTTTGCCTAACAAAATTAAGGAGATGTTGATCAGAATCTATGAGGATGGCTGGTATGCGAATCCGGCGGTTAACCCATCATTGAAAAGGGGCAGGGTTAAAAATGAGGGTGGTAGTGTTTTTTCGTACGTGGCCTCTACGAAAGAAATTGCAGAATTTATGGTGGCGAAAGGGTCTGACAAAATCAAATTTGATGATACTAACACGTTGTACCCAGTTACCTTCCGGAAGTGGGCTACGAAGAAGGAGCTGGAGGACTTGAAAGCACAGGAGGCGGCTGGGAAATTTTGGGTAATGGCGATTAGGGTCTCGTTACGTGCCATGTTTCATATGCACTGGGCCGTCGAGAATTCGATGGCCAAGATAATCAAGACTTATTCACCACAGAAGGACAAACATTTTCCCAGACTTATGAATGTGAAAATGGACTTGGCTCCGGAGGCAAGACAATCTTGGAAGGATGTGTTGGAATTTACGAAGGACGGGGAACAGTTTAAATTGGAGTTTGTTTCTCAAGCCACCGAGTGGTGCAAAAAGTGCCGGTGGTACTATCACACGGAAGATAACCCAATCTGTCCCCACCATCCTCTCCATCACACCACACATGGCCCCTCATCCTCATCCCGACCCCGCCCTCCTGCTGGAGGAGCGCACCAGCGAAGTCCATCAGTCAGTCAAGGGGGTTCGGGTCCTGGGAGAGTCTCCCCTTCGGGGGGGGTCCAAGTGGGCCTTCTGGTGGACAGCCCTTCATCATAGTGCCTTCTCCGGGTCAGCCTTCACTTCTCCAACATAACACCGTGCCTCCTCAGTTTTACGGCCCCCAACAACCCACTCAGGCACAGCAACCCGTCCATGCACAACAACCCACTCAGGCACAGCAACCTGCCCATGCACAACAACCCGTTCAAATACAACAACAAATCCTTCAGAACAATGGGCCACCTTCGGCTACCTCACTGCCATCTGCCGTCCCAACACATCAAGTCCAACCGTTATTTAATTACCAACAGCATGCCCCTTCTTCAAGCCATGCTCCATACACATACAGTGTCAGGACATCATTACCCTGCTTCAGTCCACTGCAGGGGAATCCATTTGGACCAGGATTCCAAGCAGGGCCGGGCATAGCAAATGCTAAATTTTATATGTCAGGTCCTGTTTTGGGAGCGGGTTTTTGGGGACAACAACAACAACAAAACCCACAACCTGGGCCATCAGGGATACCCTCCTGCAGTCAACACAACAACCCCATTTATGAACCAGAACCATTGCCGCCAGGGGTAGAGGAAGCAGGTTCCAAGCCAGTCCAGTCGTCAGCGTCCGCCACGGCTAAGGAACAGCTGTCAGAGGAACCCTCCTTCGTCGCAGCAACTACGGAATCGGGGCTGGTTGACAGGTTCGGATCTGGCAGCAAAACCAAGGGAGAGGTGTCGCGTGCAGAGAACAGGGTCAGATCGGACCCTGAGACGCAAGGGACCTGTGATCAGCAAAGAAAGGAGGAGGGCAATATGCCTCCGAATCAGGGTAAGGAGAAGAGTCCTCTAAAACAACGGAGAAGGAATTCGGAAGGGGAAAAGTCCTCACGATCCTTCAGCTTCTCAGACAATGAGTCTTCTGCTTCGTCTGTAAGTCCGTCAGCTGATATACTTTGGCAAATGGATAAACGATGTTCGAAAGAACCATTGCTGGGCACACTTCAGGGCATGACGTCAGTCCCCCTTGGAGCTAGCTCAGCAAAAAAACTCATCGTGCCAGTTATTTGTGTGCCGGATTCAAACGGAGCACTGGTCCTTTGCCAGGAGCTGGGTAATAACAGTCTAGGTATGTCCTCGTTCGAAACGGATCTCCCTCCTGATAATGAGGTTATCCTGAAATGCGCAAACGACTTGCTGAGGAATCGCTACCCTTGCAGAGTCATTCCTAACTTAACAATGGGAAGGGCGGTTAGACATTCCTCAGATGGCACTCTCCACCGACTGTATGTCCCCTTCATTGACCTCCGACTCCTCCCGGACGCATACCCTGTACTGGAACAGGAGGGTGTTCGGTGGGCGTCAGGCAGTTGGTTCGGCTCCACTCATAACCCGAACCTGGCTCATATTTTTTTGGAGAATGGTTTATCAGTGGATTTTGTAGCAGAATGTAATATGAAGTTGAAGGGGAGGAATATGTCCTCCCTCTTCTTCAGGGACAGTCTCACCTCAGCCTGGCTCCCCTCGAGAGAATCCAAGAAGGAATGACAAAGGAAAACCC